GGGAAGGATATCTACATGGAGAGGGTGCTGGCCCATGAAGATTTTTGCCATGAGATCTGCTATTTTCTCTTGCCCTTTCTGAGAAATTCTAGAAAAAACTTTAAACAGGTGCCTTCTGAACCATAGACGGCATGTCACAAGGTATTGTTCCTTGTGGACATAATGAGTGACTCTAATGAATCTGTGAAAATGCTTCAGGCAGAGAAGTAGTTAAAACATTTTCCTTTTGTTATAAGCCGTCTTCAGGAAGCCTATGGACTTGGAACTGAAACGGGAAATATTGCTTCCTATCCTCTATATTTTGGTTCCGTTTAAAACATATTATACCTTTTATATACTTAATTAAATTGTAGATTTAAAGTAGCTTTTAATGAAAACAGAGGATGTATATTATCAGTATGCTGCATATACGTTTCAAGACTAAAGATAATTCTTTGTGGGTTTTCTACACAAGGAAATCTGTGTTAGTATTGTCTAAGTTCTGGGTAAATGGTTTAAAAGGAAATTTTGCATTTACTTGTATCTACTCTTCTTACACTTTCATTAGTGGCTCACTGGATAAATTTTAAAAATCCCTGTGTCTCTATACTCTGGCGTTTTCAGCAAAGGTACAGAAAGATTTTATAGGAGTGCTATGGTAATTGTGATGTTAGCATTGCTGGAGCCTTTTGGTCAATGCAATGAGTCGCTATGAGTCAGAATCGACTTGATGGCAACAGGTTTGGTTGTCTTTTTTTGGTCAGTGAAGCAATTGAGAAGAATCTTTCAGTGACTCTTATTATAAATGCTGATATTAAAAAAAAATCCATTCTTTTAAAGCACATATTATTCTTGGGTTGAGGAGGTGAGGGCCCTTCAGTTGCTCTTTAGATATGAAGGTGTTCAGTTTAATTACTATCCTGCCTGCCTTGTTTGACCACCTGATTAGATGAGTAGATCCAAGTACAAAAACAACAAACAAACAAATACTATGACAATTTGTACCTCATGGTATTTAGCATCATTAATCTGAGCTTTTTTCAACGTGTCTTCTAGATGCACAGGGCCATTGCTGAATCCAAAGTCATAGAACACATGTAGGTAACCACTGCGCATTTCCAGGCTGAAAAACATACTCTGTGGAGACAAAGAAGGTGTAAGATGTGAGCATCTGCTATTATGAAAGTGTAGATTTAACTGAGTTTGAGAAATAACAGCGTATTCTTCATTAATGAAATTATTCAAAGATGAAGGAAGCCTCATGAAATTCTTATTATGAAATAAAAATTACTACTTCCATGTCAGCAGTTATTTCTCATATTAATATAGTAGTTATTTAAAACAATTGTCTTTTTTTTAAATTCTACTTTATGAATTAATGGATTAAGTTTTAAGTCTACATTATTGACTGTTTAAAACTCTTGAAATTAATAGACCATGTGTAGTCAACTGTTTTGTGTTTATGTAACTTAAAAAATTATTATGGACCAATAGATGCAAATGCATTTATTCTGAAAAAAAAAAAGGATACTATTGAAAAATAATTCTGAGGTACACTGAAAAGAATCTCCAAAAATTATAGACAAATATTAATATAAGAAAAAGAAGGTCATTTCTGTATTATTTTGAAACACTGAGTTTACATAAATACATATGAAGTTACTATGCACTTGGCCTGCATGATGTTCTAGAAACAAAGTAATTCTATAGATTAAGTAATTTACTGGTAAAGTTGGCTTGTTTTCAGAAGTTCAGAGTTACAAGAATTCAATGGATTTGAAAAATCGTGGTAAAAATTGTGGTAAAGTCCCTATTCTTCACATAGTGTATCCTGAGTGGGGCTATGCACTCCTGGAGTGTGGAAAACAATCCATTGGGGTGCAGGAATACAATATTTCAACTTCTCTATGTACTTAGTTTTAAAATCTAAAATAGAGAAAGAAATTCACCTTTAGCATTTAATATATATACCATCCGTCTGTAAGTTTGTCATACTGTGGTGACTTGTGTGTTGCTATGATGCTGGAAGCTATGCCACCAGTATTTCAAACAAAATAGGGTCACCCATGGTGAACAGGTTTCAGTGGAGATTCCAGACTAAGACAGACTAGGAAGAAAGGCCTGGCGATCTACTCAAAATTTGGTTTGGACATAATCAGGGGGGATCAACTGCTGGAGGAGGACATAATGTTTGGTGACGTAGAGGGAAGGTGAGGATGAGGGACCCTTGGTGAGATGGATTGGCATAATAGCTCCCAAATAGACTCAAAGTGATGGCGATTCTGAGGATGACACAGGACTGAGCAATGTTTTGTTCTGTCATACATAACATC